ATTGTAGTGTTTTATACTGGTACCTCTTGCCTTTGTATCTCAGCTATCTCGTAGCAATTAGAGTGGGTTTTGTGGAGTCTGGTACCCCCATCTTTCTCTTGGAGTTTATGTGGAGATCCTATGTTTTTCATCTCCTCTTGTCACTGTAGTGCCAGTGTAGCGATGTCACCTGTGGTGGGTTGACCTTAGCCAGCAGTCCACCCAGCTGCTCTCTCACTCCTACTCCTCAACGGGACAGCAGGGGAGCAAATAAGATGGTAAAAAGTTCATGGGCTGAGATAAAGGCAGGGAGACCAGTTACCATCATAGGCAAAACAGATCCAACTTGGGGAAAAATTGATTTAATTTATTGCCAGTCAAAAGAGATTTGGATGGTGAGAAACAAAAGCAGAAGACCACCTCTCCCCTCCTCTTTGTCCCAGGTTGCAGTCCACCCCTTCATTCCTGACACCTCTACCTCCCCTGTTGCCCTCGCTGGGCAGCGCAGGGGGATGGGGGCTGTGGTCAGTCTGTTAACAGCTCCACTCTGCTGCTCCTTCCTCCTCACACCTGTGTTTTGCCCCATCGGGGGTGCTCTCTGTGGGCTGCGGTCCTTCACGATGAACAGGCCCTCCCTGGGCCACAGCTTTCTTCAGGGAATACCGACCTCTTCCTCCGGTGTGCGTAGCTGCTGCCCCGTGGTCTCCTCCCTGAGGCCTGCAGGGCAACCCCTGCTCTGCGGCCTGCCGCACCTCCTCCCCTCCGCCTCCTCTGACCTTGGTGCTTTGTTGGCAGGGCCGTTTCACTTTTTTCCTCACTCCTCTTTGTCTTGGTGGCATTTGTCTTTTCCTTAAGCTTTGGTTGTTTTTTTTTTTTTCCCCCAGGGCAGCCCCGGGCCTCTCCTCACTGAGACGGCTCCCTGTGCCTCCCCACAGGCACCCAATACCCCACCGAATTTGGAGTGTGTGCTAAACGGGTGTTATTAACTTGGGAAAATTCAGGAACTGCTTCGGTTTTGTCTCCTCCCTCTCTTCAGAGGGTTTCCAGCCTCATTCCAGAGGGCCGGTTCCTACAGCTGAGGGTCAGTCATCTGACTGAAAATAAGAAACTGCCTCCTTGACAGCAGTCCTCACCCCTTATCTTGCTATGTGGTTTCCTACTCACTGCTCCCTTCCCCATTAGCCCTCAAATAAGCTCTGCAGCGTGCTTAGGACTTGCACCTGAACCCACAAACCTTTGCTGGGCACTCTGAAACACCCTGGCTATGTATTATTGAAATAGCTTTGCTAAAGATGGCACAGACATGAAGATGTATCCACCCAGCTCTGCCTTTGGACTGTGCTCCTGGTTTTGGAGCTGTGACGACCACCTGCCAGCACTGTGTAGGAAGCTTGAGAAGTTATTTATAAATCAGCTATTGATTACATGGCTGCAAAGGGCTGTGAAATCAGCTGGTTAAAAATTAGGCAGAGGTTTGCAAGAGTAATAAAGCTGTAACTAACTTAACTCTCACAATAGTGAGAGAGGAGGTGTGCTTAATCAGGAATGTGTGAATGGGTGAGGTGGGATGGGGCTCAGGTCTTGTCCCATCTCTGCCAGTCCTGGCCTTGGCATTTTTGGAGCAAGGCATGAGAGCCCTGCTGTGGGCAGATAGACTATTTCATCCTAATAGAGGGCATAAACCCAGTCCTGATCTCTGCTTCAGAGTGCTTCATGTGAGCTGTTGGGAAATTTATGAATCAGACAAGAAATGAAGATCCCCAAGGGATCTGGTTTCCAGTCACACCTCTGTTCAGATCCTTTGCACTCCCTAGGACCCTTCCTTGAAACCTCAGATATTCGAGGAAACAAAGCAAATTAACCCAACCCTAACCTGTCAAAGCTCTTTTACCTCACTCTCAGTGGAGTCATCCAGAGTGCAGACTCTCTTTAAATCAACTTTATATAAACTCTTAATTAGACATCTTAAAAAAAATAAATGAAGTGATGGCCAGATGTGAAAGAGGATAAGACATTGACTTCTACTTGGAAAGAGGAGATAGGGGCTTTTGCACTGAAATATATTTAACTATTTAAGTGCTAGGCAGGAGTCTAGAGGTTTTGCAGTTTTTGATCAGGAGACTCTGATATGTTAGATGTGTTATAAAAGTTTTGTGATGAGCAGGCAAACAACACTCCTGCCTGGTGGTTCTTGCTCTTCTCTCACTCCCTTTCTCAAAATAAAGTGGATCAGTCATATGGTGATGCTGCCTCCTATTCAGGATCAGGTTTATTTCACGTAACCCTCCTAATGTGTCAAAGCAAAACCCAAATAATGAAATAATGGACAGACACTGATTTACTCCTTCAGCTCTACTGTTGAGATACGCAGATGTTTGGGGCTTGTGAGCAGAAAAGTTTCCCTGTGGAGGTATCAGGGGGTGGGCTGGGTGCCAGGGGAAGCTCGTGGATGTTTGGGGCTGTGGAACTGTGTGGTCTTATGTCCTTCCAGGCACTGGGGGTGCAGGAAACAGAAATGCCTCCTCCAGTGTTATCCAAGCAGTTGCATAGCCCCTGAATATCTGTCTAGTAGGACACACTCAGAAAAAAACTTTAACACAGCTATACCTTCTTTTGCAGCAAATGACTGCTTTGTCCAGAACTTCAGACTCCTGAAGAATCCTATGATGAAAAACTAATACAGCAGGCTGAATGGGTCAAAGAAAGGTTTGTTTGTGTTTTTGTGAATAAAATGCATGATCATGTGATACCTTCCAGGAAAAGTTGTGTTGAGGTTGTCATTGCAGGAGGTTTTTTTGCTTAGCTACTGGATTGTTCAGTGAAATATTCAGAAACTGCAAAGATTTGAGAATTTTAGTACATATAATTGCTTGTTCAAAATTCAAACTGAAAAGCAGCTGTAATTTAGGGTTCATTTTGCTTCTGTTCCTTGCCTGCTTCAACTACTTGGGAAGCAGAAACAATGCCATATGGCTTGGGCACCCACTTGCGCATGTACCACGAGCGCAGAGGCAGTAGTGTGGCGAATTGTTCCAAGAATAATTACTCAGCTGAATGTTGCTTTTGTGAGCTATTTGGAAAATATTTGCTAATAATCAATTTCTGCATAAAAGTCAGTATTGGTTTGTAGATGGCTGACAAATAGAGCTCCTTTTGCTAATTAATTCACAAACATTTCAACCAAAGCTTGTTTTTCTAAACAAATATCTGTGTCAATAGATACTGTTTTGCTTTAAAACTTGAGAGCTTTATTAGCCATTACCTGAAGCAGCAGCTAAGTTAAAACTTTAGCAAATCATCTTATCTCTTTAAATATTTAGCAGTAGAATTAAATAGGTGTTGAGAGAAACAAAAGATTTAAAAATAAAATGATGAAATTATCAGCAGGGGTTCTGAAGTCTATTTGCCTCACTTGCTTCAGTGACAATCTAGGTAGCTTTTTCCTGGAGAAGTGGCACATGAGGACTTCCATCCGTAAGTGCAAAGCCTAGAGTAGAAATTACACTATTGCCGTGAGACGGTTGCAGTGTCAGGCTGCGTGGACTCCTTGGCTATTGGAGGAAGGAATAAGCAGGGAGCGCTGTGTGTGTAATTGTGTTCTTTCTAGGCTCTTCGGAACTGTGAGGCTGGCATTTGTCTTTATTATAGAAAAATAATCAAGAGCATTAGTTCTGGAGAGACAAAATCAAGAAGTAACTTGGAGAGGAGGTTAAGCACCACTATGTGCATGTCTGGTCTTACTTTTCATCCAGCATCTACTGCAGTGTCTGCAGACTGCTGTGGGCGAGGCAGAGCCTCAGGCTGACCCCGCGTACGGCCGCCCTCGTGCCGCGCAGGGTTGTCCTCTGCTCACCTTGCAGTGAAGAATGGCGTTGCATGTGGTGGGTGCCTCGGGGGAAATTCACTTGAGGAGACTACAAATGGCTACATCCTATTTGATCAGATCACATGGATAACGTTCCTGTACTTAAGTATAGGTATACTTAATGTATAGACCATACTGGTGTGGATTTCACTGATTTCTCCCCGCACCAAAGAAGGCATATTTTGCAGTCATGCACAAAATGTCTTACCAAACTGTTCACGTAGTCATATCTTCTAGAAGTGTGTTTCTTACGGAATTGTGTGTCCTGTTTCACTTAAGGATTCTCCTCCAAGTATCTTTCCAGCCTGGTCCTGCTTAATTTGTGAGGTCTAATGAGATCATAGCCCAAGGTGAAAGTATTGTGTGCAAGCTGTCTGCTCAAGTCAAATATATGCCAATCAGAACATATTCAAGTGTCCTGCAAAACTGTAACTCCACCAAATGACAGGGCCAATAGCTCTATTTATCAGTAATGAAACATGAGTCTCTGGGAAGGACGGATGTTTGAGTCTCACCACCTGTGACAGCTGGTACATGCTCTGGGATGTGTCAGAATTAACAGTGAAGATATGTGCCTGATGCCAGTAACTGCCTCCCTTTGCACTGGTTTGGTGTGGTGGCCTCGTTGGCTGTTATTAGGATGGAAGAGCCGTGAACAATAAAGGCTGTAAGTCAGTGCAGCTGCATAGCCAGCAGCCAGTCAGTTATGGATGACGAGAATATTCCCTGTATGGTCTGAAGATTAATCTGGAGGTGGTTTGTGTCATCCAGTCCACGTGCATGGGACAGTTAGTCCCTTAGGATTTGTTTTGGTCATGATTAGTGCCATATTGCCTTTACAGTTGAAATGCCCTGTGTTCTGTGACATGTATGCAAACTGCATCATCTCTCCAGAAGGCAGAAGCAACTGATGCCACCTTCTGTCTTCTACTGCCTTGAAATAAGCAGTAGGTTGTAAATTCTTCTAATGCAGCTTTGTGGAGCTGGTACTTTCTTTCCCTCTGTTTAAGCAAGAACACTGGCAAGCTGCCTGCCCTCCCCTGAGAGCCTCATCCTCCAGGTTTGTTTGCACACTGCTTGCCAAACGCCTAAAAAAAGGAACCAATCAGATTGCATTTGCTTAATGCATTAATGAATCTGCTTAGGTGTCATCAAGTCTAATTTCTTAGTAAGCTGTGACAGCTTAATGCCTTGGGACTGAATTGCTGAGGAGAAGTTGCAGGGTGATGGACAGCCAGAGGAGTGCTGGAACTTGAGGACTTGACCATGCCATGTCCCCCAGCCCAGAGTTAAACTTCCCTGGGTACTAATGGAAGCATGTAAACAAAACACAAAGATGAAGGTAGGTCTCCCTTCTTGTCATTCTGGCAGCAAACGTGTTATTTGCGTTGTGGTTAATGCCCTTTGCCAAAGGTGCTTGAACTCCTTGGCTAGCTGCATGGGAATAGATTTTACTTATTAGAGTTTGAGTCCTAGTTTCAAAAAATTTTTCTTTTAAAGGGTCATTTGGGAATGCAGCATTATAATAACCTTTGTTATTCCTAGCAACATGCATGCTAGCTCCTTCCCTGTCTCCCGTGGTGATGCGCCAACGGCTCTGTAGCAGATATGTTTTATGTGTAAGGACTGGTACACAAAATTCTGACACTTGTGAAAAAGCAGCCTGTAGCCAGTGGCACTGATCCTCAAAGAAATGGTGTGCTGCTGTCTTTTCACACCGGGAAGGCCACTTGGATGCTGAAATGAGAGCGGCTGGCCTTTTGGTCAGCGTGAGGAGGGTGCCTGCATCCATCTGTCCAAGGGTCCACCAGTGCTTTTGGGGTGAGCCTCAGCAGGTCTTCAGTTCAGACAGACTGCATTAGAGCTCAGAGGAACAGGTCTGTGATTTTCCTTCATCACACACAGTTAGCTTTGCCTTAAATGCCCAGTGTAACGATTTCTAGGGCTCTGCAGCCAGCCTCTGTGCTCACTCCCTTGCTGGCTGAACTGGTGGCACATTCCAATCTATCCCAGGCAAGGCTCCGTTGCTGAATGCTGTGCCAGTCTGGATTGCAGGACTGTGTGCACGTCTTGTGTGCACTGAGTCCCTCCCACAGTTCCTCCAGGGCTCTCCTTAGGGGATTCTCTGGGGACCAGTGAGACCCCACTGGGACATTCCTTTGCTTTACAAAAAAAATGTGCCAAAAACTTCCTCTCGGAAGCTGCAGCTTCCATGGGAAATTTTTAAAACTCAAACTTCCCGCAAAAGCACTAGGCATATTAAACAAAATATGATTTTTTTTTTTTTTTTTTAGTGGAAACTTAACAAGTCAAGCATCTGACATAAAAATGAGAGCTTTTTTTGTTTCAGATGTTTTCATGGCTTTGTCAAATGTTTCCGAACATCTCAACTACTGTTTAGCTGAAAATTGTTTTGATCGTTTTTACCTGTTCTGTGGAAAATAACAGATCACAACAAAACTATGCATTTGGAGGAAAAAAAAGTATTTTTATTGAAGAATGTACATCCAGTGAAGCTTTTTATGGCATCTTTTAAAAAATGCACAGACAACAGGCTACATAAAGAAGCTTTATTCTATCTTTTAGTCTGGGAGCTGAAGGTTTTTCTCTGGCATTTAAAATCAATTCTAAGTTTGCTATTAGCACTGATGGAAAAGAGAGAAGACCTATACTGTCATCTCTCCTCATGGTTTCCTGTGACTCCTCTGGTTTAAAAAATCCCAACCAAAACAAACACAGAAACAAAGATTTGAGCAGCCAGAATCAATCAGTCCCAGGATTTATTAGAATTTCGTGGTCAATGTTTGCCCCGCAGACCCAGAGATCTTTGGCAACTGTAGAAAGGAAAATGGCCTTGCCTGAGCCTCCAGCAGAACCTGACATAGTATTATGGGCGTTAGACCCAGATTTCAAGGACCCTTCTTTGGGTGCTTATCTTGCTACTCCTCGGTACAAACAATGCAAACCTCCACTGTCTTTCAGTAACTGCTCAAAAAGAATCAAATTCAGCATTAAGAAATGCCTGTGTTGATAGAGAGCAGTGCTTGATGCCCCACGGCTGAGCACAAAGCTTCTTCCTGTGGGAAGCTCACCTTTTAGTCCTGTCATTTCTTGAGAGGCAGCATGTCTTGTAAAAAGCCTCGCTAAAGTCTCAGAAAACATTGCTAACTAGATGATGGAGTTTTACGTTCAAGAAAGATGGTGATGTCCTGGCTTTGCTTTATGATAATGGCGAAATCGCCAACATAATTGCTCTCACTCAGGTGAGGAATTGAATGACACAGCATGAGTAAGGTGTATGAAAAAAGATTTGTTTCCTTAGCAGTTGAAGATATCACAGTGCAATCCAAAGGATCTCAGAATGAGCGATGGGAAGCCAGTGACTGTCAAAGCTGAAAACTTGTGTTTCCAAGTTCCGTGCCTCAGTTTCCCAATCTGCAGAGAAGGGATAACCCTACTTAGCTAGTTTACCAAAATGTTTTCTTATCTGTGGCTGAATGCCTAGAGTTCCTTGTGGAAAAATGCATGGTGGAGGCAAAGCACGTGTTGCTGGGTTTCCCTTGTTCCTGAGGAGAACACTGCCAAAAGGATCTCCAGCCTGAGCAAGCTTGCAGTGTAGCTGGACAAGACCGTCAACAAGATGTGGGGAAGAACATGCTGTTGCAGTTGGAGTGCAGAGAGGATATGAGAAGGTACATGATGATGCACTGCAAAACGCAGCACCCTGTTGAGCTGCTGACCCTTGTTCTTGGTGAGGCCATGTGGGATCTGCTCTGCAGGGCCCTGAGGAGCAGCTGGCTTGGGATCCACAAACTGGCTGTCACCTCTACCCAGGCACTAGTTCCATGTGAAATTTTTTGCTCTGTTCCCAAATTCTCTTTTTTTGGCATTCGCATGGTCTCTTCTAGATGTACTGACGTTTCAGCTACCTGCCTGCCTCTCGGTGCGGTCGTGAGGCCTAATTTTGCACGGAGGCTCAAATTGCTTCAAGCGCTGCCAACACAGGATTTACGGCATTTCAATACACTTGTTGTTTGCCTCCTTTCGTGATCAGACTTCCCTTTGTACAAAAGGCTCAGCGCACAGCTACCAGCTTGGTGAAAAAGAGCTGTCTGCTAAATAAGCTGTTCCCACCGTGCTGCCGCCACCACGGAGTAGGCAGGGGCGATGCCGTTCCTCCGTGCTTCTCCCACCGATGCGCTGGGCCCGCAGAATTCCCTCATGCTTCATTTCTGGCATCTAGCGTAGATGACAGCTTGGCTATTTTTCATTTGTTATTATCATCTGCTGTGGGCTAGCGACTGGAAATAATTTTCTACCCAAGACTGACAGGGATAATGCGATTCAGAAGAGGAGCCATTTCTCAAAATGTCCACAGGCTGGGCATGGCGACTGTTTGATTTTAGCAGGAACAGACTCGTTCTTCTAATTCCTACTGCTTTTCTCCCCCAGCAGGTTCAATGAAGGGAAAAGAAGGCAGAACTGCATTCTATATGATTTTATTTCAAGAACAGCTGTATAAGCAAACCAAACTAACTCACCCAAAACCCACTGCCCCTTTCACAAAAGTTAAGTTCAAGGTAGTCAAACAAAACTCTTCTCCACTGTAGGCACTGAGTTTTGGTTAAAATTGTGAAGGTGAAAAGGGGAATATGTCCATCTAGCTCTGCAGTCTTCTCCATGAATTTGTTGTGGCCTGTAAATACTCAGATTTTGTATTTGTTTTTTAAGAAAAATCCACCAGCCTGTGCCTATTTTTCCTTTCCGTAGTGCTCAGGCAGCTAATTTCTGGAGCTGTAGAGGATTTGAATGGAACGCTGTTAAAAGGAAATGGGGTCCTTCCTCATCATGTCTCCACGCTTATTTTGTCACGACGTCCTACAGTACAGGAGAGCGAGGGAGAAGCTGTTACACCGCTGTCTGTTGAGAGAGGCTGTTTCCTGCCTGTGAGTCTGGGTATCCTCCAGCTTGCGGTATGCACCTTGCCAAGCTCTTGTTAGGGACTGGTGGAAGCTGAAAGTGTTTTTCAGGACCTCTTCGAAGTTGATGGCAGGTAAACCAAGTTGCAGGCCTAACTCCTCTTGTATCTATCTCCAATTCAAGTCTCCATCACCTTCATTACATGGATGTTCAATAGCCTGAACAAATCTTTTCACCTGCCAGCACTTCTATTTTCCCATCCAAATGATCACACTTTTTTCTCTTTCAGAAATGAATGAAACAAGATACTTTCCAGCTGTTTGTAAGACGTAAAGAAAAAGATCTGCTTCTCTGTGTCCCTTCTCCCCCAGTGCATTCAGGGCTGGCTGGTGTCTGACCCGTGCTGTGCTATGGGGGGTACTGAGAGCGCTTAGCAGGTCCAGCATCCCAAACATGGGTTGGTGGCTGCCACCTGGTCAAAGATGAGAAAATGCGAGCTTCTAAACACACCTACCCTGCACCTTCATCCTTCTTCTCTGTGGTGGTCTGTCCCTGTTACTGTGATCATTTTTGTTTTACAGGTTTTGAGGTTGTGTGTTCTCTGCTTGTAATCTTCACGAACCTTCAAATCAGAAGTGAAGTCCTGAATCCTCAGCCTCGCACCCCAAAATGTGCAGACAGATTTTCTGCTTGGCATGTGAACGGTACTGAGGGGAAAAATGGGGCTCTTGGGACAAGGGCAGCTAATCTTTCCGTAGGAACAGAAGGATTTTGAAGTCTGAGGACAGAAGTCTGCATCACTGGGGCTCGATTCATGTCTTTTTTCCTTAGCTTTAATATGGTGTTGTGGGAAAGTGTTTTATTTTTTGTGCAGCTTTGATGTTCCACAGCTGCCTCTCTGCATCCAGTAGCTCACTGAAACACTTAAAAGCAAGTCATCCAGGTCGGTAAGCCCTGCAGTTGCACTTCAAGGCAGCAGAGCGGGCAGAGCTGAACTGCACTTGGCACCGTGTGCTGCTCTCTAACAGTGGTCGGTGGGGCAGCAGCAGTGGAGCTCATGGACGTTGCCCACCCTGTGAGGGGTGCACCAGCCCAGGTCTCCCTCCCAACTGGCAGGTACTCATGCTGACAGTCAGGAGACTGGGCATTTGGTAAAAACCGTAGCAGCTGGGTTCAGTTTTCAAAATTATTTGGGGTAAGTTCTGGTAAACTTGGGGAAAAAGTTTTAGCCTTTTGAGTCCTATCTGAACCTCAGGAATATGAGAGATGTGTTTGCATACACTGGGTTTGCAAAGTGGCTCACTGGCCCTGCTTTTGACATGTTTGTGTAAGACCTGGGGTTTTTTTTTTTTTTTTTTTTTCCTTTGTCCATCTCCCATCAGACTTTGTGTTTGCAAAAGGTGACTTAAAGTGATGATTTTTTTGTTTGGTTGGTTTGGCTTTCGGTTGTTTTCCTTGTTATATAATAATAGTTCTATTATGTTAAAGCAAATGAAAGGCAGACTTGCACTGAACGTCTGTGTCTCCAGATGAGATTTGGCTTCCTGTGGCTGCTGACTCTTCAGGTAGCCAGAGCAAACAGACAACAAGATGCAGCACCTGTCAGAGAGTTAAAGCCTGCAATTAGCCAATATGCAGTTAACTAGGTTAGCAACATGGGGAACCAAGTGGCCTTAGTTTAGGACCACATGATCCCGAATGAATTAGGTAGCAAAGCATGGTGCGTGTACGGTGTCCTGGATCACCAGAGGGTGTTAGAGAGGCTATGGGCAATCCTAAACTGGGCTGTTTTTCTGCTGCCTCATGGAGGTTCCTGTTCCAGTTTGTGGGTCCTGTTTGGGTACTGGCACTGGATGTGCTTGTATATCTGGGACACCTCGTCCTTGTCCTCTAGGGCACACTTGCAGTTTGGAGCTTATTTGCCTTCATCCTTTTGTATCACCAGTGTCCAAGAAGCATCCTGAAGTCCTTTTTTCAACCCTTACAGAAGTTAAATCATTCTCCATGATGTCCCAGGCATTTTCTACTCCACTGCTATATTGAAGAATCACTGGAAATGGGCTTTTGTCTCATCAAGGTCTGATCTGGGAATGTGTCTGAGGTAGGTGGTGGGCAGATTTTCACTGTGTAGCATCAGAGTCACTCAGAATGGAGATCATTTTATAATTTCATGGAAGAATTTGAGAACAACTATCACATGCTCAGGTCTAAAACTTTTTCGCAGAAATAGTTGAAACAAGTGCATTTTCACAGATCACATCAATTCTGTGGAATCACTGCATTCTCCATCATAAAAAAATTGACAAAAGGTAGTCAAGATACTCTATCCATCAGCCTGAAAGCCCCTGATCCCCACATGTAAAGCTCTGATAATGCTTAGCTGGAAGCTCTTAATATAATACCTCTGTAAATGAGAATAGTGCCCTTAAACCCTACGTTGTTTTAGACTTCTTCTTGAAACACCTCAGCATTCTGCCCTTCAGCTGACTCAGTCCCAGTTGTTACCCTGCCGCAGACAGTTGTTGCTAGATCAAGAGAAGCTGTGTTTTGCTAGTCTCACTGCAGTTTATTTACTCTGAGGTCCTAAGTGAGATTTGGAGTGCTTTTGCCTCCTCAGTTTCCCCGTGTATTTTGACACTTCTCCAGTCACCTCCTGAAGAGGTGTTAAGTGCCATTTGTGGCAATGCAAACTGCTTTGGGCTCATTAGAGGTAAACTGCAATATAATTAATTGCAAGTCCAAACTATTACTGTCATAAGTTTCCCTGACCTCGGTATTTCTGTGTTTTTATGCTTTAAAGTGTAAAGTTGTCATTTCCTTTCCTGTTTTCTTTCACGAGCTTTGTTCAGAAAACACACGTCCTTTAAGGAAACTGAAGCACTGTTTTTTTTGAGATTTTTGTTTCAGGTGTTGGCCTCAGCACGCAGCAGTGCAGAAGTCTTCCACTGCAACAGAGGTTTCACAGTATGTAGATGCTGAAACTGCAAGTTTTTCTACTTTGCGTGTTCTTGTATCTTAACAGCTCCTCTCTGCTTGCCTTTCCTGGCCTTGAGGTGCGTGTGCTTTGCACACTTCTCTTGTCACTCCTTGATGTTTTGTTTTATTCTTCATGACAGCACTTGATGGAGGAAGGGTTTTAGAAGGTGGTATCCCTGTCAAAGCCCTCGGTCTCTGCTGGTTAGGGGACAGTGTCTAACGAATAAGGAAGAGCCAGGAAGGTCTTGATGCTCCCCAGGGCTGGGCAAAACAGAGGTAGAGAGAGAAAAGCAGGTACGGCAGTATCGTACTCTTCCTGTTGTCTGTCCAGCTCTTTTGTCTCTTTTTCTATTACTGTGTATTCATGCTTGATGAAAATGAACACTTTAAAAATCAAAGGCCTTAATACACACCTCTTCTGTATATTGGTATTTCAGTTCACATTAATTTTTATCAGTGGAGGAGGCACTGGAGCACAGCTTGTCCTTGTTACCGAAACTCATCTCTTTCCTACAAGTCTGCAAAGCTTCACTGGCACCTCCAGTACTAAATTAATAACCTGCTTCTGCTACTGTAGGTCACGTAACCAGAAGGTCTGTATAAGCTCACTGGCTCCAGACCTGTCTGCTGGGCTCTAATTCACATTTACTCATTGCGCTTGGGCCGTTTCCCTCATGGGCTCGGATGCCATGCAGTGTCGATTGCCCTTGCCCAATGCACAAAAGTGGCTGCCGTGGGGAAAGCCCAAGGGCTCCCAATCTGTCAGAGGTTCCTGTGAACAAAAAAGAAGCTGTCTCCGTGCCAGGAGGCTGCCGCAAAGGGCCGCGCTGCTCACCAAGCGTGCTGTGTGAAAGAAAATGTGCCGAGATGAACAGCTGAGGAGGTTTCTGGATACAAGCGTGTGAGGTGGCATGATTTCCATCCCTGCTGTGGATGGGGAAAAGCCCTGCTCAGCCCTGTGCTCCTGCCTGCAGTGCTCCCAGGCTTCAAAGCAGAGTGTGGAGGTTTAGTCAAGTCCAGGATGCGTTTGTTGAAATAGAGAGGCCATGCTTCATGTCTAGAGAAAGGGGATTTCAAGGCAATTTGTTCTGTTAACTTGTGAAGGATGATTGGACTGTTCTGTCAGGGGGGACTGGTGGAGGTTCTTGGGGTGCTATGAATGGATGAGAGAGAGGGTTTAACCTTGTAGCAAGGTCTTATATCATGGTTGTCTCAAGGAATGGCATGATAGCTGTCACCAGGTTCATTTCCAGGATGATGTATGTATGTGAGTGCATGGACACTTCCCCATGAATGTAATGCATCGTCACAGGGTGTGCAGGTGACAGAAGAGCACGACCATGTTGGTGATGCTGCTGGAGGTGAAGCGGGTCTGTCCCAAGTTAGACTCAGGAGGGAAGGTACTCTGTTCCCTGATTATGGCTGCAATTTTTTTCTTCTTTTAGAAAGGATGAAATAAAACTTTGGCTTACTGTTCTTGGCTAAGCATGCAGTCTTTCAGGCTTTGATTGAATCTGTCCCACCAGCTTCAGTATTACTGAGCCAAAGGAAAAGAGTGTAAGCAGGCGCTCTGGGAGGGAGACTGGTTGCAAATGCTCCCAGGTGGTCTTAGTCTGGCCAGCTGACCATCTTTGCTCTACTTTTGTCACTTTCGGTGATTTAATGAGGGTCACACTTTTCAGTGCTGCTAATGCTGTTTCCCTGTAGAAGTGCTCGTTTTGAGACACCCAGGAGCTTAACTTTTTCACTAGAGCTGAGCTGGTAGCTCGTTGCTGGCTCCTTAATTAAAGGGAAAAACCTAAAACGGTATTGGGGAAGTCTTTCGAAGAGCTACTGCCACCACTGTTTTATGGTAATGTTCCTAGCTGATGGTGGGACCAGCTCTGTTAGATGATGCACGCATGTGTAGGAAGAGACAATTTCCTACCGTAAAGAGTTTATTGCCTTAAAAGAAAGTATTGAGAAAGATGAACAAGCAGCATTTCTTCTATGCTTGCTTTGCAGGCAGGAGCTGGAGCAGATTAAATCTTGCCTGAAGGCCACGACACAGCTGAGGCAGAATTTTTCTTGTTTCTCCTAAGGGCTAAAGCAGTGCTGAAGTCTGAGAGCAGTCCTCTGCCTCTTGTTTGTAGCAAAAGGGAGAAGCCTTTTGGGAGAATTCTCCTGTTTCATGCAGGAGATGTCACATTTGGAGACCCATTTGCTGCAGTCAGCTCATTTTCTGCCATTCTGCGATACATAGGGTTGTTATTTTCTCACATATCTGATTACTCAGCCTTGGAGAAGCTGAGAGAATTGCGTGGTTTAAGGTGACTCATTGTAAGGCTGAATCCTTTACTCCTACAGCGCTGGTACCCACGGGGTGGCTCAGCAGTGACAGGAAGATGTTTCCCTTTGGCTTTGCTGCTGCTTTTACCAAGTGAGGTGACAGTCATCTCCCCAAACCACAACAGCCTGCGTGTGCTGCCTTTGCTAGTTGGAGAGAGATTGCTAACTCCTGCAGATGGTTTTCTGTGGCTTTTTTTTCCTCCTGTAGGAGCTGAATTACTGCACATTTTTACAGCTAAAGAGCTTGTAGGTTGGATACAATTGCTGAGGACTCACTGCTTAGTGTCTGAATTCCTTTTCTCATAGTACTCATGTGGACACTCTGCATCCAAATGATTGTAAAGACAGCTTGAGCTGCTGCTGTTACTCGTGGTTAACAGAGAACCTCATGTGAGCCCTTTCAGCTCTGCACAAAGCTTCTCTCTCTCTTTGTGTACATGGGTATTTCTAAAAACTGCCAGCAGTGACCTTGTTATGGAAGATTTCCAAACTAGACATGGAAATGATTAAAATATTATTATTTTTATATTTGAAGTAGCTTTCGAATGAGCATAACAACAACAAAACACACAGAGTAGAAAACTAAGTACCTGCTGTGCGTTGCATATTGCATAATTATCTACAGCACAGGGTGCAGTGACTGTGCCCATGCCACGCTGGGGGCCAGGCTGAAGGAGTTAGTTCTCTTTCCCTGATCTTGCCCGAATGTGGTGCTTTCTGTAGGGCTGGGATGGGTTTACACCCATCTAACTGAGAGGGGCTCCAAGCTCACACTGCCTGGCTAAGCAGCTTACTGTGCAGAGATGTGATCAAATCCTGGAGCAAAGGGGGTGGTAACTCTATCAGTTTCCAGCAGATGCATACTTTGCTGTTAGCTTGTGCGCTGTGCAAAGCTTTAGGGATGATTCTCGTGCAGCAGTCACCAGCAGGCAGGGAGGGACCGGGAGCACATTGCAGTTCAGAGGGTGTCTCTGCCTGCAGGTCTGGGTGCTCCTGAGGTCCCTCGGGTCCTTGTGGCTGCAGCACCCCGGGGATCTGCCTGCCAGCCCTGCAGGCAAAAGATATTCCTTGCATCTCACGCTCAAGATTTCTTCAGAGAAGTGGTTGCTATGCAGCCTTGTTTATTCCTGGTATGTGACACTGTGTGCTTGCTGAGCTTGTACACCTGGAAGGGGGAACCTGCTGTCCTCCTGGAGAAGGGCTCCGGCTTGACAAATGGCCGTCCCTGCTTCCAGTTTTGGAAACAGGGTCTGGAGCAGAAGAAATCCTCGTTCCCCTGTGGCAGGCAACCCACAGCGGAGCTTTACAGCTCCTGGGGAGATTACAAGCTTAACAACGTGGAGCTAGATTTCCAAAGTGAGGAACACGCGTGTTTGTGAAGGAGGTTTGTGGATAGCCTGTCTCGTGTGCTGTTGCTTTCCCAGCAAGGTGGTGCTCGGGCAGGGGCTGGCAGGAGCCAGGGTTGCTTTTACTGTGCTCTGGTGGAGGTTGCTTGGTGCAAGCGTCCTCTCTCAGAAGGCAATAAAATCCGGGAGAAAGATTTGATGATTTTTCCTTTTCTTTTTCTCTGTTCAAAAAGTTGTTTTGAAAAGTCTTAAAGCCACACAAGGGAAGCTTCTGCTGGGTGACTCCAGCTGTGTGCTGGACATCTTGGGTGTCATTTAAAAGAGACACAGTCCTGGGAGGTGTGGAAGAAGAGCAATGATTGAGGTGGTGGATGGCAGGAGGGGAGAGGAGGACAGGCAGGAGCTGCAGAACAGACAGGGTGGTTTGTTGACAGGGAAGCTCCTCTTCATAAGAAGAGTGACAGCCTCTGTCATGCCATGGGAGGCAGAAGGAGAGCTCCCACCCTGGCTCAGCTGCTGCCCTCAGGCTCCCTTTGCTGCTGTGTGTGGGCAAACAGGTAAGTCTGTGCTCAGCTCCTGCTCAAACTTTCCTTGCTCTGACTGGGGTCAAAAAGCAAACACTGCACCTTTGGTCCTTGCTGAGCTCACACTGTTATTTTCCAGGTACAATCTAGGCAGGTCAAACTCAAATCACCTTTCTGAATTGTCCCCTGCTGAGGTCTAGGTCGGTGTTAAATGGCTCCTAGGGGTGATGGTTCACCACTGCAGGATGGTAATCAAGTCTGCTCTTGTCAATGGCTTAAACTGCTGTTTCACTAAGTTTAACACCGACACCTCACTCCAAAGGATGCGGGGGACAAGTGGAATAATTTTACTCCAAGGAAAGAGCGGAGAAGTGAAGTCTAGTGAGCTCACAGGCTCTCTGATACATAAATGTCTAGTCCCAAAGCAGTACCACTCTGACGAACATACTTGCCTGCAGGTTAGCCTCTATTTTCAGAGGGGTTTATTACTAAAAGTATGAATCTCTGAAAACTGCATCTGGGGAGTATGAGGAGGGAAGATCCACAGTCTAACGCACCTTCAATTTCTTTTGGGTTGCGGAGATGCTGACCTGCCACAGCAGCAGAGGGAGGACAAACCGAACTCTCTCAAGGGCTGAGATACAGGGACTCTGCTCATTATCAGGGGTGTTTGCTGGTTACTTTGTCCTGTTTCTCCCCTTCTCTCTGGAGAGAATGCCTTTGCTTCACTTTAATTCATTCCTGTTCTTCCTGGTAATATCCACGCTCCCTCACCCCTAACGATTTAGCAAGCTGGGGCTCTGCTGCAGAGACCACTGCTGTAATGACAGCGGTAACCGTGTGTATTTGCGTAATATCCGTCATCCCAGGGCCTTTGAGAGCTTTGCAAAGCTTCTAAGCATCATCTGCATTTTTCAGTTGGGGATACTGACCTGTAAGAAATGGAAGTTGACTTATTCAAAATCTATGGCCTGCAGAGGTCACATTTATATGCTCCTAACTTTTTTCTGGCCTTAAGATTTCTATTTCTCTGCAGACCAGGCAATGAATCATCAGCAGAGCTAGCCCTGCTTCTGCAGTCTTCCACTTTTCATGCTGTTCTTCGTCTGTGTTCACTTTTGAACGCTGGAAGTGATGGCAGTTGGGAAACGTGGTGTTTTCTGTCAGGTCAGTGAGCCAAATTGTTGCAAGGTTTTGTCAGCCAGCTCTACTGAGTTGTGTGTCCATATCTGGCAGCTCTTTTCTGTACCCCTCCCTGTAAGCACTGAAGTCTGTTGCAGAGACAGCCTATTACTCCTTTACCTCTTACTGGCATCTGGCTCGGTAGGTATTAGAAAACAGGTGTTGCTCCACCTTGACTGAAGGTCCTGCACTGGGCACTCCGGGGCACCACAGTGTGGGGTTCTGAACAACAGGTCAGATGCAAGACAGCCCCTGTGTTTAGCAGACATCAGAATGTGGACGCTTGGGCACTCTAAGGATTTAAATGCCTGTGGAAGTAGATGATACCTTGTAGGTTGGGTCAATGGAGGCCTTAAATAGTTCAGTGGTGCTTGAATAGTGGACTTAAGCCCTGAACAAGACAGAGGTGCTTAAATACTCTAAAGACCTGGGAATAAATTCAGAGCAGTGGTAACTGCTGCATTTCTAGGTTAATACAGCTCTAAGAATAGTACAGGGACTTTAGTGGAATAGATGTAAGAGTAATAAAATGGACAATTAAACCGGTCTTGTTAGAGGATATGCTCCTGCTTTTGCATGTCAGCCCTGTACCTTATGCTCCCAATGCTTGTTACTCATAATGAAAAATTTCAATACAAAACGCAGATCTTATGTTGCAGCTGAACAAAATTGCTTCAGATCACTGAGGATTTCCCTGCCCGATGATTACACACGAACAGGACAAGAGCTCTTAGGATGCTCACTTGGAGTTAGTTACCTTGTATTTATGCAGCTGTTTGTGGAAACGTGCTTTAGTCAGAGTACTGGGAGTTGGTTTGTGCCTTTATGAAAGGTGTGTGGAACAGTATGCAAGGCCCTACCAGGAGAAAACTATTGGCCAGGAAATGTATTTTAGTAGCCCTCTGGCATGGCTTCACACAGAACTATGGGGTCCCTCTCCCCAAGGCAGCCAAGAGGAAGGCACGGAGGGAGACAAGCCTTTCTAAGGAAGTGCTTTTACAAGAAAATGACTGTGATAGTTTTAAGCCCTGCTGGGAATGGAGACCATGTTGCCGTTGTCCCTCCCCCACCCTTGGACACAAGTAGGGCACAAACCCTGAGTTAAAATAAGAAATTTAATACAACAGTGTAGTAGACAATCTGAACAACAACAACAGCGATAATAACAACAATAAACAGCAATAATAGTAAACAAGACAAAAGATATACAGAGAAATACTGCAATGGTTACAGACAGCCCGCCGCGTGCTCCCTGTGAGCAAAGCCACAAAGGAAAGCTTCCCACGCTGCTGCAGACCTGATGTCAGCACGGTATGAATAACCCGGCTGGAGATCCCTTCTCCCTCCTTGCTGGGGAAACTTAACCCTATCCGAGCTGAACCAGGACAATGACATGAGCCAACAAGCATCTGGCCTAACATTTTAAGACATGGGCCACTGGTTGGACTTAATTTGGGGGTGTATTATTTCAAGGTGCTGATTGTGACTGCTTCTGGACTCAAAATTTAAATGTTGGGCATCTAGAGCCTTTCCTATGGCAGAAATCCTATGTGGCCTGAAGACTTGCTCTCAGAAGCAGCAGCTGATTGTTGCATGTTTTCTCTAGTGCTAGCCCCTGCAGTTTCACTGCTGCCAGCTAATTCATGTTCATACAGCTTTAGCACCCGGAGGCCCCTCAGGGTGAGGACATCTCTGCATGAGGTGCTCTACAACGCCCTGCGTGGGCTCAGGATCTTGCAATTTCAGGGTCTTCTTCAAAGTGCCTCAATAAGGAGGGGAAACCTTTCAGCACTTTTTGTGAGGCTAGGTTATGCTCCAGGCAAAGGTGTGTCAGTGTACTTGGCTCCTTCTCATCTCATTGTGCCCAGCAGTCACAGGAGCCCACAGAGCAATCAATCACCCACCTTTGGGGAATAACCAGTCTTGGCCGCAGCTCCAACAGAGAACGTCACAGTGCTCAGTGGGAGCAAACTTGTGTACAGTACTCAAATAACCGAGGTGTCCAGCACAACTCCTCATTAGAGCTGGAATGAGGGATTGTTCAAGTGCTTTTTGAAGGAGCTAATGAGGTTTGGCATTCAGATCAGCTTATTCCCAACTCTTGATTTGCTTCCCTGGGTAAGCTGCTGCTTGTGGTAACTCTTGTTTCATGGTTGAGTGGCCTGCTCTGCTGAGAAGCAGCCATTGCAGGAGCTTTTGATAGGGGCACTGAGCTTTTGAGACCTTCCAAATGAAAGCTGAGTGCAGAACTTGTAAAAGAGCATCACGTGGGTGATGCTTTTCATGTTACATCTTTTGTCTGTGCTCCTTGCCATGCACAGTAAACATTTGAGGAAGCAAGTTTATTGCTTCAGAAAATCCTCAAAGCAGTAAATTCAACGATAAGAGAAAACAGATTTTGGATGTGTAATCTCGATTGTATCATTGTGCAGAAAGATACAGGAGCAATTCTGGTGAGCTGTGTGTCTAACCTAAGTGGCTTTGACACCAAGAACTTAGAAAAGTGGGGAGAGATGCAATTAGGAGCACAGGGATCTGCCTTGTGATTCTCTCACAGGCCTGGGGAAACTGCCCAGTTCCACTAGGCGAGGGCTTTTTACTCTGCATAAAAACTCTATTCTACAGATGTATGATGGTCTTGTAAGCTGAAATCCACTGGCCAAAAAACCCCCAAACAACCATGATCAGTCCAATTTCATTATCCTCTCAACAAGCCTCTGGCTGGTGAGATATTGGGTTCAACATCCACAGCAACTCCAGTCCTGACAGGCTCTGTAGGATTGCTGGCATCAGCAAGCTTCACATACCGATACTGTATGTTTGCTGTGCTGGGATGCCACCAGAGAAATAGCTTGTTAGTTGGGAAAGTAAGTAACAATAACATTAAATGATCTCTGTTTTCATTTACTGGGTGCTAATGATCCAAAGAAGCTGAAAATCCCAGAGGATGCATTTCCTTTTGATTAACCCAGCAGAAGAATGACAAGGAGTACAGTTACTGTCTACTGAAACATCACCAGGGCCTGGAGCTGTTCAAATGCAGCTGTGTTTCATTTTTTTCCTCTTCAGAAACTATTTTCTAACACTTTTTTTTTTTCACTCAGCAGCGAACCACTGCCACTACTCACTCTACAGAGAGTGGAACCAGCTTGTTTTCCATGCTCCTGTCAGCAGTGCCAAAAGATGAATCCTGCTCGCTCAGTGCTTCCCCCAGGCTGCAGGCAAATGACTCTGCCATTATCGTTTCAGTCACAGTGGTGGTGGTGCAAGGGAGAAAGGGGTGACCCTCCATAGCTGTGTATTTGGGGGTTTCCACATCGTGTAGCTGACCTGAATTAGGAACTATGCCCTGAATTTAGTTAATTAAGCCTTTGGGGGCCATGGAGGTGCCATAAGTAACGCCCTTTCTCATTACGCTTTATAGTGTGCTCGCCTTTAGGTAGGACAGCCTGGCAGAGTAACAAAACTGAGGCATGGAGAGCCTGGCTTTGCGTTTCAGGGTAAGTCAGTGGCAGAGGCAGCCTCCTAGCTACAGGATACACTCATTTCTGGTACTTACTGTTTTCTCCTGGGCATTTTTAATACCTTAAGCAATGGGGCATTCTCAGCTTCATTTAGGAGGTGATCTTAACCAGCCAAATTTGCCACTGGCATATTTCTTAGATATTCATCCTATGCAATGAGACCAAAGAAAACATACCTTAGTGCCTGCTTTATGCGCTAATCCCACTCACAATAAGACCTCCATTCCTTGTTTTAAAGTACACAGTCCAAACAGATTTACATATGTATTTTTAAGGCCATTTAGTGCCTGCCTTTCACTGAAAGTAATGGGAACTAGTCTCTAAAACCCCTCTAAGCACCTTCGTTCCTTGACCTTAAGCTGTCTCTGTGAATTACCTAGACTAACAGACAGGGTGAAAGCCAGAAGTGGGTTAACTGTCTCAGCTAACTCCAGCCTTTCTGAAATCACTTGCTTTACTCCAGATGAATGCTTTGACAGCTTTTGAGCGGAGTTAAATATCTTGGGCAGGGGGTGGAGCAGTACAGGCCCTTAGGAACAATGCAATATGAACAATTTCTATTGAAATTTTCTTGAGGATACCATTTTATCTGATTGTAAATGTGATTGGCAGTAGAGAACCTAAAGTCCTTGTACAGGCACTCTTTGTTATTTGTTTTAAGCTTACAGCACACATTAATAGGGATCTGCCTTTGCTTCTTCTATTGAGTGCAAGGGAATTTTTCCTTCTGTAATAATTTAACTGATCTGTGTCTGTGATTGATCCTTCTGACTGTGTTTAGCTGATAGTTGTTCTGTTTGCAGAGCTCTAGAGGCACCAAAGAGTGGATTTTCAAAAGCAGTTCACATTGGCACCCTTGTGTACTCACTGACGTTTATAGGAATTCTACTGCTGGCTTACCATCCTGACCTCTTATCCTAAGGTACGCTCTGGAAAATCCCCTTACTTCTCACTAAGACCCTAAGAAGTGGGCTAATGTGTTAAAGGAAGCCCAAGCCCTGTATGGTGACTGTGTCAGAAGGTGAAATTTCTATAGTTTCAAAGTGAAAGCAACCAAACTGGTAAGGAAACGAACTGCAGGGACTGAAGCTGAAAAGTGTCACGTTTTGCTATAGCCCTAACCTGAAGGGCTAAGCATAAATTTCCTTTACCTTCATATACCTTGCGAACTATAACGCTGTCTACAACTCCACTAGTCCTGTGGGATGTGCATTTGCTGATGTGAGCATGGTGGACAGTTTCTGAGTCGCTGGCATCCCTAAATAAGGGTTATGCTGTGGCCTCAGGCTTTCTGAGGGGCTCCAAGTGCTATAGGTACCTCAGCAACACTATAAATGTAGGCAGTTTATCTACAGCTGCAGTTTTTCCAACTGCTTTTCTCCCTCCTTTCCCAATGGGTGGCAGATTTGGAAGTATTTGGCTTGTGGTTTGAGTTGTGGCTCAGAATTACTCATGGCTGTGTCATAAAATCTTATCTATCCCTTTCTACAGAAAAAATCTTACAGAGTGGTAGAAAGTGCTAGACATAGGCGTCCCTGTCCGTCCCCGTCCCCCGTCCC